CCACTAATTAACCATATAACCCCTTAAAAAATTAAATGAACTAAGTCGAAATAGTGGAAGAAAACTTGACCCTCATAGACGAAATCTCGTTGAGGGGACGTTTGTGAGTCGACGTCTTAGTCCGCCTCTGTCCTAGACAATCGTTGTTTTGGTCACAAACTAGTGCAGGCCGGGGCTTTCCCACTTTGGCTAAGTGTTGGATGACGGTTAGCATCGACGCCCCGTCGATTCACACACGAGCCGTCGGTTTCCTTTCATGTTTGCACACTGCCTAGGCTGTGTTGCCTATTACGTGCTAGGGCTTTCCTCAAGGGACCTTAGTTTGTCCTTTGGGAGTAGTACCCAGGTGTTTCGATAACGAATCAACTTAAACACGTGTTATATACCCTTCCACCTAATTTCATGAATTTTTGACTCCTAAAATCTAGTCGAATAGGCTAAGGCACACTAGTACCTCCTTGAACTAGTTTCCGGATGTCATAGAGGTTGTTGGACGTTTTGTTTCCTAAACATCCTAAATGACCTATATTCATCGACATAGGTATTAAAATAGTTTTAAAACCCCATGGCACTTATTTTAGTCACTAAGACCCGTCTTGAATATTCGACATGTTACATTGTGTTAGCACATCACTTGTATGAAGTACGGAAACATATTTATACACAATATAGAAATCATGCTGAAAATGAAATTCTTTAAAATCATACAAAACTACATTGAAAAGACTTATGCATAACCCAAGAACACATATAAGCAAATAATCATACACTTCTTATGATACAAGCATATTAAACACAATAACCACCTACTCAAGTTAAGCCAAGTCAACATGTTCATAGCATAATAGAATTCATAGACAATGAAACTTTAACATCATGTCATAGACACAAATCATTTTAATGTTTCCATAAAAAAACATCATAATTAAAACCCTTATCCATAACCCTTCTCCATGTCCACTAGTGGAATGTTCTCGTGAAGCCCCATAAACTCACTCTACCAAGGAAACTAGACAGAGGTTCATGAACCAAGCTAGAAGCCCCAACGCTTAATCAGGATAACTGGCACCAAGGTCAAATGAACCAAGGTTTAAACTATGGTAACTACAACCGTGAGGATCATTATGTCCGATATGGAAACTACAACCGCGACAACAACTTTAACAGGGGTAACTATGCTAATAGAAATGACAGGAATGGGCCTTATGTCCCTCCTCAAAATCGTGAAGTTACTCCTAGGGATGGTGGAGATAGTATGGCACAAGGCGAGGATATGTCGCACAAAATGATGAGGTTGTTCGACGCTAGTGATGAGCACATAAAAGAGTTGAGGTGTCATTTATCTAGTATGGTTCAAAAAGTTGATACACATGAAATTTAGATTAAGTAGATCAAGTTTCAAATGGACCAATTATCTGCGACAATGAACACACGGCAACCGGGCACTCTTTCTAGCAACACTGTCCAAAATCCAATCAATGATGCACACTTATGGCAATCACTACTCGGGGTGGTAAGCAAACCATTGACCTACCTATGTCGTCTAATGAGGACAATGTGAGAAAGGATAATGATAATGTCGTAAAGGGTAGTGGTGAAGTAGAGGAAAGTAATGGAAAAGATGCAGAAGTACCTATGAAGGTAATTCCCATGCCTAGGACACCACCACCTTTCCCTCAGCGATTAGTGAAAAAGACCGAGGATGGTAAATACCGGCGTTTCATAACAATGTTGAAGTAGCTTTGTATCAGTGTTCCTTTGGTAGAAGCTCTAAAACAAATGCGCGGTTATGCAAATTTATGAATGATCTGGTCACCAAGAAAAGATCAGTCATTGTTGAGGATGATTATAGACTGCAGCATTGTAGTGATTTTGCTACAAGATCCCTCGTACAAAAGAAAGAGGATCCGGGTGCATTCACTACTCCTTGTACAGTTGGGTCATTACATTTTGCGAAACCATTATGTGATCTGGGGGCAAGCAAAAATCTCATACCCCTCTCAATTTACAAGAAGATGGGTTAGGGGGATCCAAAACCCACTGCGATGCTGCTACTAAAGGATGATCGGACAGTGAAACGGCTTATAGGGATACTCCATGATGTGCTAGTAAAAGTGGAGTCATTAATCTTTCCATCTGATTTTGTAATTCTTGATTGTGAGGTCGATTTTGAAGTGCCTATTATTCTTGGGAGGCCAGTCCTTGCTACAGGTAGAGCCTTAGTTGATATGGAGAAGGGGCATATGAAATTTTGGTTGAACAACGAACAAGCGACCTTCAACGTTTGTAGGAACATGAGGCAGAGTGGTGAGAACCAATCGGTATCAGCCATATGCCACAAAGAAAAGATGAAGAAAGAGAATGAAAAAAAAAGTGCAAAACAAGAGTTTATGGTTGGGGATTTGGTTCTTGTAGACAGTTTTGGGGTGCCTTGTCTTCTGCACACGCTCAAGTCCAACTGGACTGGCCGTTACTTGACTACCCATGTATTCCCTCATGGAGTAGTTGAATTAAAATCCAAGGATAAAGTGCACGTTGAGGTTAATAGAGAACAAATAAAACTCTATTTTGGGCATAAAGCATCGGGGAATAAAGTAGTAGAGGCAAGCCATCTTGACGAAGGCTGAGTAACTAAGTTTCCCTAGTCGTGCCGCGACGTTAAATCAGGTGCTTGTTTGGAGGCAACCCAATAATTATTGTCTTTTTAGTAATGGTAGAATTTTTCTACAAATAGGTTTTTAAATTTATAGGCACATCACAAGGAAATTCTGTAGAAAATTATTCTGCACCAGTCACTAGCGGATACATCGACGGACCATTGCGCCTGCGAAAGTCCGTCATATGACTACGTCGTACCAGGTACGTCTTTATGTTATTTTAAAACTAGGGCACACACGACGGACACAACGACGGATCGTCACAACTGAAACGGACCATCGTTGGGTATTCGTTGCGTCATTAAGAAGTCGTACCCGACCCGACCCGGCAATAGTCTATTTAAAAATCAGACCGTTTAAACCCCCCAACCCCTCATTTTACCCCATTTCATCATTATACCTCCCATTTCCCTTTGTTTTCAACTTCCACATTCTCTCCCTCGATCATTGATCTCCGAAAATGCTCCAAAGTCCTAAAAGTTATAATCTACTAGTCGAAGTTGGTGTTGTGGGTGTCTTCCTGGTCAACGTGTACTTATCCATCTTGTTTTTCTCCAATTCTAAGGTATGTGTCTATAATTTCCACTCATTTATCTTGAATTTTTGTTTATTAAATAGTATCCGCTTAGTTGTTCGTTACGTTCATTTCTTTTATATAAGATTCTGTCTAACCTAGGTTAAAAATGTTCAAAATTGTCGTGTTTACAACCCTTGACATAGGTTTTTTGAATTGCAAGTTTCCTAGGTAGTTGGGTTACACAAATGTAGGTCCAAAACACTAAAAGTTTGGCCAGGGTTCATTGGGGATGCATGGGGTACCCCCAGTTCAGTCACTGATATACAGAACGAGACCCCGATGACGGACCGTCATACCCACGACGGACCGTCATACCCCGGACGGACGATCGTAGGGTTCGTTCCAAAAGCCGTAACACACTGTTCGAACGGACATATGTGACGAATCGTCGTCTTGACGACGGTCCTTCCTGCACAACCGTTCTGTATATCTGAGACCCTGTTTCTAAGGGTCTCTCATTTTTTTTCTCTAAGTGTCCCCCAACGGACACATGTGACGAATTGTCGTCTTCACGACGATATGTCCTGCACAACCATTCTGGTTGTTAGTGACCCTGTTTCTAAGGGTCTCTTATTATTTCTAAGTGTCCTTTAATGGACACATGTAACGGGCCGTCATACCCACAACAGTCCGTCCTGCATGACCGTCATGACGGTCACAGACCCGTATCCTAAGGTTTTCCATATTTTTTTAAAGTGTCATACGATGGACCGTCGTACGTGTGACGGTCCATCCTGTACATACCGTTATACTATTCAGAGACTCTCCTTCAGGATTCTCAATATATACGTAGTTTAAGTAAAACACGACGGACCCCATGATGGTCCGTCATAGTCACGAAAAGCCGTCACCAGGCCCGTTGCGTGACCCTGTTACAATAGTAATGACACACTTTTTTAATTGTTTTTGTTGTTTTGCTTGTCTTGTTTGCCACTTCTCATATAAATATTGATCCTTTACAGATACTATCTACTGTGGCACCCAAGAAAGACCGAATCTACTCACGCAGGTGATCGAACTCTGTCGCCCTGTCTGCCCCTATGGTCCTTGGCTCTGATGAAGAGAGTTACCCCGAGTATGTGGCCCCAGGAATATCCACCCCTTCCGTGCTTCACGTGATCCTAGAGCCACACCCAAAAAGATGGAATCCGGCGTATCCATTGCCTCCCAGTATGATGAGGAGGGCACACTGATCAGCACACCCTCTGCGTCAGCAACAAATGAAGAAGGAGCCTCTGGCTTCTTAGGAGTATCGTGGTCCAAGGAATCCTCCGGCTCTGCTGAGGTTCCCGCACCCGGCACCGCTGCAACATCGGCCTCGTCTGATGAGGCTGACAATTCGGAATCCACATCAGCTTCACCACGAACAAGTTGATGATCAATTATGGCCTCAATCTTCTTGTCGATGATTGGCTGTGTGATGAAAATTCTAGCTCTCCCGGACTGCCCCCGCTCTTTTTCTTCCATATCTTCAAAATACGGTTTCAATTGGCTCGCATGAAAGACGGGTGAATCTTTAAATGATGGGGCATGTCTACTCGATGCGAAATCTTTCCATCCTTGACAATGATCTCAAAAGGCCCCTCATACTTGCGAATCAAACATTGACTCACACTCCGCAATGACTTGAACTTCTTTGGATTGAGTTTCACCATAACTCGATCACCAATTTGGTAATCAACAAGACACCGCTTCCGATCAACAAACTTTTTCATTTTCCGGGCTGCCTTATAAAGATACGTCCGGAAAAGGTTGACTTGTTCCTCCTAGGCTTTCGCCATATGATAGGCACCCGGACTATTCAAACCGGCATCAACGGGCAAGGATTGGGGCGGATTAGGCCGCCGCACTGTTGCTAATTCTAAAGGACTCCTCCCCATCACATCGCTCACCTGAAAATTATAAGAGAATTGGGTAGTGTCCAGCAGCTTGGCCCAATCCTTTTAGTTGGCACTAACATAGTGCCGCAAATAGCACTCCAACAGCACGTTGATCCGCTCGGTCTGCCCATCTGTTTGAGGATTGAAACTGGTCAAAAAGTGCAATTCTGACCCCAAGCGACTAAATAACTCTCTCCAAAATGAGAGAGCAAATTGAGGATCTCGATCTTTAATGACGTGCTTGGGAATGCCCCAATACTTGATGACGTCGCGCAAGAAGATACGGGCTTCCTCTTTAGCCTTGCAACTGGCCGTCCTGGCATTGAATCTTGCATATTTTGAGAAGCGATCCACTACGACCATAATATTTCCAATCCTTTTCGAGTTCGGCAAGCAAGTAATGAAATCCATCGTGACGCTGTCCCAAGGTTTTTTAGCAATGGGGAGCGGCTCGAGCAGTCCACCCGGTACCTTCGTCTCGACCTTGTCTTGTTGACAAATTAGACAAGTCCGCACATACACCTCGATGTCGTCCCACATCCAAGGCCAATAGTAAGAAGCCTCTATCAAGGCTAAGGTTCTCTTCTGCCCAGGATTACCAACCGAAGCCGTGCCGGGCCCATCTTTGATCAACATAAGCCGAAGGTTAGCCCACTTCAGAACGTACACACGCCTACCTGTAGTATAGAGCAGTCCATCCTCTTCCTAAAATTTCTTCGTATTTCCTTGTTGGGCCAAGGCGAGGAGTTGTTTCTCTACGGGATCATGTTGCATGCCCTCTTTTATCTACTAATCAATAGAGCTGCAACTCAAGATCACGATTGCAGCAAAGGCATCCTTGTGAGTAAGCGCGTCGGCAATAACATTAGCCTTCCCTGGCTTGTACTCGAATGTGAAACTGAATTCTACTAAGAAGTCCTGCCAACAGCCTTGTTTAGCAGTCAGCTTCTTTTGAGATTAAAAATAGGTCGTCGCGACGTTGTCCGTACGACAAAGTGAGCACCCAACACGTAATGACGCCAAGTTCTTAGGAAATGAACTACGACCTTCATCTCCTTTTCATGAGCAGAATATCGCCTCTCTGCGTCATTCTGTTTTTTGCTTTCAAACGCAATCGGGTGGGCCTCTTGCATTTGGTCGCCACCAGTAGCAAAGTCTGACGAATCAGTGTGAACCTCAAACACCTTAGGGAAATAAGGCAAGGCCAAAAAAGGTTCTTCCATCACAGCAGCCTTAAGCCTCTCGAAGGCAGCTTGACAAGGATCCGACCATTCCCACTCACGGTTCTTCTTAAGCAAATCGGTGAGTGTGGCTGCAATAGCCGAATATCTGAAAATAAAGCATCGAAAATAATTGGCAAGGCCAAGGAAGAAACACAATTCGGGTACCTTCGTTGGAGCCTCGCAAATCTTAATAGGTTCCACCTTGTCGCCGTCTATCCTTATCTCTCCGTGGCTGATTGTATGCCTGAGGAATTGGACAGTAGGTTGAGCGAAGATGCATTTCTCCCGCTTTATGCACAAGGCATTGTCGCGCGAAACCTTGAACACCTTGCACAACTTCTCCACGTGATCCTCCATGCTATTGCTATAGACGATGATATCGTCTAAATATCTAACCACAAACTAAACCAAGTACTGGTCGAACAACATGTTCATCAATGTACAGAACGTCACTGGTGCATTTGTCAAGCCAAAGGGCATGACCAGACACTCGAAGGCACCATAGCGTGTCACACAAGTCGTCTTGGATTCATCACCTTCGGCAATTCGAACTTGATAATAACCCTTCCTCAAATCCATCTTCGTGAACAGTTTGGTCTGCCCCAATCTATCGAATAAATCAGCAATCAAGGGAATTGGATACTTGTTCTTCACTGTGACCTTGTTGAGGGCCTGGTAATCGATACATAATCGCAGCGTCCCCTACTTCTTCTTTTGGAACAAGACAAGCGCAAAAAATGGCGCCTTAGACGACCTGATATGTCCAGAATCAAGTAACTCCTTGAGCTTCTTCCTCATTTCATAAAGTTCTTGGGGAGCCATACGATAACGCATCATGGTAGACGGCTTTGCCCCGGGAACCAACTCAATTTGGTGATCAACTTCCCTTCGGGGTGGAAGCCGTTTGGGAAGTTCTTCCGGCATCACGTCCCTATTGTCGTTAAGGACCTTCTCAATCCAATAAAGCAATGGAACTGCCTCAAAATATCTTTCGACGCATCCAACAAGGGAAGCAAGAAAGGTTGGTTCACCTCTCTTTAAACCCTTAATAATCTGCATCGCCGATAAGTGCATCCCATTTTGTGGTACCCGAAAAAAGGGTACCACGCATGAGCCTCCGGTGTCGCTGATGTGCAACTAGTTGTGACGCGGTGAGATAAAAGTATTAACCTCGTACCAAAAGTCCAGCCCCAAAATCACATCGAACACGTACATTGGTGCGATGGTAAAGTCGGTAAGCCCCGTCCAATCTCCTAAATCGATGGGGACTTTAGGAGCAATTCCATGGATGGAAGTGGGAGTGGTATTGACTGTCTTCAAAAATGTATTGTTGTAAACATAATTGAGGCCAAGCTCCTTTGCGTTCTGTTCTGTCAAAAAATTATGCGTTGCACCGGTGTCCACCATAATTCCCACGTCCTTGCCATTTAACTAGGCATCGACAAACAATGATTCCCGCAGCTTGATACTAGCCGGTTGAGCAGCCAAAGCAGCAATAGAAATATGATTAAACAAGGCCCTATGATTGAACATACCAACAACAACGTTCTTTCCCTTGTCCGTCCAGCTATTCTACCCCCATTGCTCCTCGGTAGAACCTCTGGTTTGCGTCGCGGCCTTCTCTTGCTGTTTTTTGGAAGACACCATAGCACTCAATTTTCTAAAGGATGGACAATAACAGGAAGCATGCGTCGTCTCCCCACAGATATAACAACCTTCACGATGAGGAGCGCCTTTCTTGCGGTCCTCCTAACTCTTGCAGAAATTAGAGGGTTGATCACGAGTGTTACCTCTCGTGTCGCTGCCTCGATAAGGAATTGGTCCTTTGTTCCTGTTGTTTTTAACCTTGAGAGGAATAGTTTTGCTCCTATTATCCCTCCCCTTTTTCCGCAACTTCTTAGAAAATGATGAGCGATTCAGCTACTATAATCGACTCGTCCACGTCGTCAACTTGACGTCTTTGAAGATCTTGATAGGCCAATTTCTAGAGTCCATCCATGAAGTAAAACAGCAAGTCTTCACTGGTCAACCTTGGAATTTGAAGTGTCAATTTCGTGAACTCTTTTACATAGTCCCGACTAGAGAAATTTTGTTTCAACTCCCTCAACCTCCAACAGGCCTCATGGACAACATTTTGTGGTTAGAATTGACGTTTGAGTTCTACCTTGAACTGCTCCCGGCCGTTATTTCAGAAAACCCCCTTCTCCATGTCCGCCTTCTTCCTTCGCCACCACAACATTGCCTTATCAGTGAGATACATGGCTGTAGTTTTGATTTTGGCAGCCCCGTTTTGAATGTTTACGTGGTCAAATTAAGCATCCATCTGCCACAAGAAATTTTCCACATCATGAGCACTCCTTTCCCCACGAAATTCCTTGGGTTTTGGAGCCTCAATAAGTGTCTCACGCACAGATGAGATATGCTGCCTAAGACAATATACAAAGGCTTATAAGTAAGTTAAACGTTTGGGAACAAATTCCAAAAGAAAGGCTACAAGTGGCAGTCTTTACAAGGCTGAAAAAGTGGGCATATATGCTTTCTTGGTTTATTGTCATTCGGAGAAACTGGTGCACAGATTTTGTCCATAGCATTCGGGGGTTTTCTTGGCTGGACATGCTGGGCATTAAATGTTCATAGTTTCCTACAAGAAACTCCCAACGGTTGGGCTGGAGGTTGGAACAATCTCTTAACCCTCCGAGCCTCGATATGATGCTGCCGTGTTAATTAAGGGGCTAGAATCGTTGGATTTTAATGTAACGCCTTGCGGGGCGGTACTTAATCCTTCAATCTTATTAAGAATGTCTACTCAAATCTCAAATCTAAGCCCTTCTTTGAGTTTTTACTCCAATGGAGTTCTAGAGAATTTCTGAGGGAATTAGGGTTTTGATTTTGAATATGATATATTGTCAGTGTTTTAGACATACATATATGTTTAAAATTACCAAAAGACAACTTAGGATCCGTCATTTATATTATTTTGACGTGAGGTGAACCCGTTAACTTAATTGTAAATTGCGTAAAGACAAACCCAATCGACAGATGAACCATGGATGGCTCGTCTCTGGACCAACGACTGGTCCTGTTTGTCCTTTGATCGGGACATAGGCATGTCTTTGCCTCCTCCTTCTCCCACAAATAAGTTTTAACAAACGTCCTAACCTACGGGGCGTCGACTAACCCAGTGGGCGCCGATTGCTTCCGCAGGTTGGGCTGTCTTGGGCAGTCTTTGGCACGAGTGAACGATCATTACTCAAGGACCCTTGGATGTTCCTTTGGTATTTTACCTGGACATTCCGACCAGAAAATTCCAATAAATAAACTTAGGACCTCTCACATGAATTTCATCCAAAATGAAAATATAAAACACGACGAAACATGCCTACATACAGAAGGTCCTTTCAAGTCAAACCTTTCAAACGACATGGACTTTCTTGAACGTTTGACATCCAAAATTCACGAAACTTGAAAAACTGCCTATATACACTATAATTATTCATATTAAGAATTTATAACCTAATTAATCACAAATAAACACATAAATCCACATATGAGGCATATATATATCTTAGTCGTCAAAATTAATAGTCGTACATGGATGTTTTACTTTCAAATTACCTAATACTCTAGACACTGCCTCAATTCCACATTGTAAAAATTTTTAGGACCTTAGAACTTCATGAAAAAAAATCTTAGTCTCTAGATTCATTGAATTAATTTTTGTGGTATTACACAATGCTATGAAAATACGCAGTAAAGAGTTAGCAAAGCCCCGAATCAACCTGGAGATGACCAATAATAGCTGAGTATCATATGCTTCTGGTGGGGATACCTACTTTTGAATAACTTTACCTGAACAATTAAATGCAGCGCCTAAATAAGGGACATCAATATGAAAGAATGTATTGAATATGTAAGTCATAATACATCTATATGTGACATGAGAGCTCAAGTGAAACCAAATACCAATTAATAAGGATTAAAGACTTCCTTTGCTTATACTTCTTGAATTGTGCATGTTACATACTTTTCATTACTTTTATGTGGATTATTTTTTGTAGGACAAATGAACAAATGACCAGCTGATCAATCGTAGGAGAGAATGACCCATGCTAGGCAATTTAACCGCTATGATGCTATCCTCATAGTTACACAAATTAGTATCGACCTATGATATGATTTTCCCCTAAGCTGCCACCCTTCTATGTCAATAGGTATTGGCCCATGAATGACTTTCGCCCCTGAGCGGCCACCCTTATGTACCAGTTGGGATCGACCCATAGTAGGGATTTTCCCTGGGCATGCACCCTTAATTTTACATATTGTATCACTTATATTTTTTATATATGAGATTGTAGTTTTGATGTTCTTAACTCTTTTGAGACTGTACTTTGGATAATCGTAACACTTCTAAGATTGTACTTTTGTTGAAAGAAACTCCTTTTTTATTAATGTTTTCTGGTCATATTAATTGTTGAGATTTGGAAAAATGAACCAGTAGTAGAAGACATACTAATATGGACTACTGATAATGACAGTGTTGTGGGAAGAAAATGTGAAACAACCGTAATACTTTTTCTAAGACTCATTACACATTTTTGACATTTTAAAATGAAACACATACGAAGTGAAGACGTATAACATTAAACAAAGAGATTTGAACTTTATATGATAGACAAATACGCACCAACTAATATCAAAGACAAGGTATAATGAAATCTGGAACCAAGGGAGTGTATGGAAAAATTCAACTTAAGGATGGATACATATTCCAAGTAAGTACATACATATAAATGTACAATAGAGCAACTATACACCATGTCAAACAACATAACTTTCTAACACAATGAGAGAAATAACCAATTAAGAGAACACATGAACATGTAAAAAGATTACATATATGAACGAATAGTATATTCAAGAAAGTTGGAAAGATATAGGCAAATGGTGTATATATCCTATAAACATATGTACGATGTGTAATCTAGATTCACTTTGACTTATATAAGGGAAATACGTTCCAGGGGTACTTTGCAATGAAACAGGTTTAAAACTTGCATGCTAGCACTTGGTAGAGCAAAAACTCTCATTTAGTAACAAACTCATAGTAGAGTACTCACATTAATTCTCTAGGGTGTACTAACTGTATTTATGGATTAGTCATTACCAACAACACTTAGAAATCTTACAAGTGTTGGACACATGCAAAGTAAATAGGAAATTGAATAGCCTTACATACGTTGTTGCATAACAATAAACATCAAGATAAGTTAACCATCTTCCTTTAATATTATTTATCTACAATGGAGTATATAATAAAAACTAATATTATATTCTAAACAAGTTTGCGCTACTTGATC